TCCATTTTTTTGGTTTCATCTGCCAAAAATTTTACTTTGATCCGTCACCTCTAGTAATGGAGATAAATTGAAGAATTAAAACTTGACACTATTAATTATTGAGGACCCAACTTGAGACTTGAAATAGGTGAGGAATGAAAAGTACACAATTAACATAGTTTAGGGGCTTCCTTGATATTTTATCCTTAAAAAATTGTCATAATATGAATGAAAGGAAACTCTAAACTTAATCCCATCTCGAAATTATGCTCAAATAGAATTCTAAGGTATATCTTGCAGTTGACTGGCACAATAAAAATGGTATCATAATTCCTTGGCAAACTCAAATTTTAATAGGTAAATGTAAGTCACAACCTAACTGTTTTGACTTGGCTTCCAATGCATCAATTTTTGTTCCTCAAGCCCCAGGATAAACTTTTTAGCAAATAAACAGTATCTTATTTTCACTATAACAAATCACTAACTATAAGACAAGTTGAGATGAATAGATGATGTCCTAAACACCCCAAATCTTTAAACACTTTCCTCAAATATCAATTAAAGATTAGTTATGTCCGATGCTTTCAAGTTTCAGAAAACTGATAACTATGTCTTGATCAGATCATGAATTAGCCTAATTAGTTAGCATCAAAAACTTCAGTTAATTCATGTGACAATCTTGAGGATATTTGTGTAGATTACTTCGTATTTTATGCTTCTAGACTACAGAAGCCACATCATATCATAAACGTTCTTCTAAAGGAAAAGTAAGAAGAAAAGTCACTAGCTATCAAGAATAAAATTCCCTAGCTGTCCACAAAAAAAATGTCGTCGGTTGACTAAATATATTAATATGCTTGTCTGTATATTGAACAAGTTTTAGAGGGTCCCCTACTCCTCTTTGATGTTAAGGGAAGCCAAAACGAAATTTAAATTTGGCATGCTGGTTTAGTCTCCTTTGGTGCAAGGGGAATGTTCCGACTGAAAGTGACCAAATTAGTGAATGAAGGGAAAAATAGGAGGTTTGAAAGATCTCTTTTTCAATTTCAACGTGCTGATAATTCTTTTTCTTTCTTTTTTTATTAACACGATAATTTCTTTTCTATTTCTACTTCCAAAATTTTTAAAAAAACCTAGATAAGATTGCAGGTCGAGAAATCTATATCCAAGGAGGGACTTAAGTGGCCAACTCAGCCCATGGTTTTCCCCTGTTAATTTATCCTTACGGGCCGGCATGATGCGTTACAAAAAGACGTGGCCTCAGTCAAAATTATAGTGAGCGTAAGCGTAACAAATATCAAGAATAAATAATATTTTTAGGTTTTATAAAAAATAAATAAATCAAACAATCATTAATCCCACTAAGGGTTTTTCTATCTTGTTTGTTGGCCTCCCAACTTTGCCATGAAAGAAAACGGCTAAATGAATTAGCTCCTTTCAAGGTCCACGTGAATATAGATTGAGACTAGAGAGGAAATGAAAATTTTATCAGCTCGAAATTCTACTTCTATGTTTAGAATCAACTGGATTCGGATCTAACTTCGATTGATTTCGTGAAGTTAAAAATGCCATGCATTCACAACAAGAACGATGTAACTGTCATTCAAGAAGGATACCTTTTTTTTCTCAAGTTTGAAGGATGTACAAAGGTAAAGAAGGAAAAGATGGCATAAAGCTAAAAGCAAGTCTTTTGTGGCAAATATGGAAGGCGTAAAGGCAGTCATTATATTCATGAGGTGTTGAATAACAATCCACAATGTGATCCATAATATCAACAACAACAATTATGTGAGCATTGACAGAAAAATGACCTGACGGAATGATGGAAATATCAAGATTAATACAACAGGAAAGTGAAGAAGTTATGCAGAAGAATGGTGGGTTTTGGGCATTGTAGTTAGGATCTAAAGGCCTCCTGATTGTAGCTTGGGCAGGGATAGACGATGTAAAAAGCTCAGCCTTAATTGGAAGCTGAGCTTTGTGACTTATAAGAACACGCCATGATGAAGGCTAAAGAAGGGTGGAGAAGGATGAAGATCCAAACCTGTTGCTAATATTTTGCTTATACTTAAATTGTTGCAGGAATGCAAAACTTGAGTTAGCTATGATCCGTTTCTCGCAATGAATCTTCCATCCCACATTTTATTATATTGTTATTCTTTTTTCGTAAACGTCGTATTTTAGTTCTTTTTGGTTTCCTTAATATCTAATGACTATTAACTGAATAATGCACAATATTTAACAAAGTTAAAAATCAAAATGCATAAAAAATTGAGATTTTTTAAATGAATTTTCTACTTATTTTTAAAATTTTCATTATATATTATTTTTTATACTGTTGTATTTATTTTTTACTCAATTAATAGTTATTGAATTTTAAGAAAATAAAAAAAAACTAAAACATGATATTTATGAAAAAAAATAGTAATATAATAAAAAATGAGACGAGAGCAGCACGGGAATATGACAAAAGATCCGTTGTATCCTTTTCTTGTCTCACAAAGAATGGCAATGTAGTTAGCCATGGCCCATGGCACAGCTAAACTAGCTTTGGATGGTAATCAGAACAGAGATCTGAAAAGGAACAAAAGTAATTTTGAGAAGAGACAAAAAAACGATGAAAAGGATAAGGAGACAGAAGAAACGGCTTCTGTTTTGTATTTGTTGGAGTATTCTTTGTCTCTTTGAAAGTGCATCCAATAGTTGGGTAATTTAGTAATAACGTTTAATTCTTGGATATTCTACTGAAATTACATACAATGAAAATATGTAAAGTTTACTATGTTCTATACTTCTATGATCGTGTCCAACTCATTTATATGAGCTATTTTGAGCTTGATTGAAATTTGGTCAATGTAATTCAAGCTCAAACTTTGGCCAAGTAGGCTCACAAACATTTTGATTGAGTTCGATTCATTTTCAATCCCAATTTAAAAATTATTTCAGCTGCTACATTCAAAGAAAAGAATTGCCATATACTAATTACTTATATCAAAATTTTCATAAAAATTTATAACTTAACACGTTTGCAACTAGGGATTCATGCGAGCAGTTTGGTCAATGACTTGGCTTGAACTCGATCAAATCGAGTTCGAGCCGAGTCTCGAGTTACTCGAGTATACATTCGAGCTCGAGTTTTTAAAGCTCATAGCTTGACGAGCTACTCGTCGAATAGTATAATTTAAATAATATATATAATTAAAATAATATATATGTATTATAATTATAAAATGACCGTTATGGGTATAATTTATATTGAATTTACAAGATTGATCAAAAAGCTTGATTGATTAGTTTACTCAACTCGATAAAGCTCGAAACCTTATCGAGTCGAGTCTTGAGCTTTTAAGGACTCTATCAAGCTCGAGCTCGAGCTGAGATTCTCTGACTCGATTGAGCTCGAGTATAGCAGTACTCGATCTCGACTCGGCTCGAATATAGCAGTACTCGAGCTCGACTAAGCTCGAATACACCCATATTTGCAACCCTAATATAAAGATTACATTAACTAGAGTAGTGTAAAGAAATTAAGGTGCATTGAATCTACAAGGCCAAAACCATTATAAGGGAAAAAGAAAGGAGAAAATTTTTTTTTCTTAAAAATAAAAGCACATATAATTTATGTTCGACATAATTCCTTAATTAGTGTTCATAAATAGATAGATTTATGAACTCTATACCACAAATTTTGAATGTATTTCAAATGTAACTCTATACCACAAATTTAAAAAATCCAATAATTATCTTACTTTTTTCTTTATTGCCTACTCACACACGAAATTATAAAATAATCTAATATAAACTATGACATGAATTTGAAAAACACGTATGATTGTCTATAAATTATGTTAAAAATGCCAAAAATAAAACATTTTCTGTTTGGATTGATCATTTTTTGAAAAACAAAATTTTCATATACAATATTACAGTAATACAAAAATACAAACAACCTCAAAAATATCAAAAATAGCTTAAAAATAACTCATTTACAATAAAAGTTTTTTACCTACATTGCTAAAATAAAATATTTCAAAAATAATTCCAAAAAAAACTAATCCAAAAAAAGATCCAAGAGATGATTAATACTTATCAAAGAATCAATTGAGTAAGTTGATTCGCAAACATTTGAATTGAGTTCGATTCATTTTCAATCCCAATTTAAAAATTTTAGCTGTAACATTCAAAAAAAAGGAATTGCCATGCACTAATTAATGATATCAAAATTTTCATAAAATCTATAACTAAACATGTTTGCAGCCCTAATTTAAAGATTACTTTAGCTAGAATCATCTAAAAGGCCAAAACCATAAGGGAAAAAAGAAAGGAGAAAATCTTTGTTTTTCTTAAAAAAATAAAGCACATATAATTTATGTTCGATGCAATTCCTTAATCAATGTTCATAAATAGATAGAATTATGAAAATTTCGAATGTAACTCTATACCACAAATTTAAAAATCCAATAACTATCTCACTTTTTTTTATTGTCTACTCGTACACACACGAAATTATAAAATAATCTAATATAATCCTACTATATGAATTTCAAAAATACGTATGATTGGCTACAAAATATGCTAAAAATGCCAAACATAAACATTTTCAAATACCAAAAAATCCCAAGAGATGACAATAGTACAATACTTATCAAAGAATCAATTCTCTTCCTCATTCCTCAATCGAAGGCAAAACCGACTCCGTACTATTTACTCCGCAATAGTCAAAGACCGTTTCTCCATTGCATTGCATCCCGCGCTCGAAAGCTTAAAATATCCTTCCTAACATTTTTTCTCATTTTTTTTAATAATTCAAAATCAGCCCTTGTTTCCCTTTCCCTCTCCCTTCTTTCCCTCCTTATCTTCCCGCCTCCCCCGCCCCCTATCCACCCATTTCTTCTGTATATATTCACACACTCCCACACCCTCCAAAACACGCACTTCCCCCATCCCCTAGCCCACTGCCCACCCCGCAACCCAAAAAACCCCACCCATACCAGATACTTCCCGCAACTCCATCGTTAACCATGAACAGCCGCACCAGGAGACAAGCTCCAAGAAGGGGGGAATCGCCTGCGTATCTCCGGTACTTAAAGCCTGGGGCATTAGCCCAACTGAGAGACTCGCGAATCAGCGCCAGAACTCACCGGGTTGACTCAAAGCCAACTCAGATCTCGTCTCCTCCACGACCAGCAACTCCGCCACAGATTGGGCCTTCTGACGGGCCCTCTTCTCCTTGCTTTTCGGCCCGGATCTATGGTCCTCGCTGCCCTCAGAGGAAGAAACTCGTGGCCGCTAAGGGTCCGCTCTTTGTTGGCCCGAATGTTGGTCATGCCCAGGAGCCCGGCCCGATTAGCGATAGTAGTAATCTTAATGTTCTTGTTGCCCATTGAATGCAACTGTAAAATGCCAAAGGTTTTGTATTTTTAGTGTTTTACCTGTTGTAGATTTTTTCTTTTTCTTTTTCAGAAAATATCCCATCATGGATTTAATGTAGGGAAAAAATTTTGTTAATGTTGGTTTTAGCAATAAAAAAAAGTGATAGTTAGCCTTCATTTATATGCTAATGATGGTATTATTTTGCTAATTTTATCACTCTTGACATTTAATTATGAATTAATTAGGGTTTAGATTTAGTTAAGTTAATGATTTAAGCACTCTGTGAGTATTTAAAATAAAAAGCAGTATGTTATAAGGATTAGTGACTTAATTATGTTGAATTTGTTTCTTTTTGGTAAATTAATGCGTACTCTAAAAGCAGCTTATAAAGTCTATGAATCTTATATCAAAGATGTTTCTTGTCATAGTTATGATTTTATTTAAGTATAATTTATGGTTGATGTTTGTTTTAGCCTATCTTGATTGATGATTATGCATTGATTGTTTGGATCTGTGCTCTGTTGGCATTGTATTGCATTTCTGTCTTTCCCTTTTGTGTTAATCTCTTACTACAGTATTATTTAGGATGGATATTATAAGAACCTTTTGCAATATGAGATTGCATTTTATATAAAAAAATTAAATATATAAATTGCAATACTTGTTGTAATTTTTCATTTTTTGACACAATTACGGTTCCTTTAACATTTTATGTGAATTATAGATCATAAAGTTAAAATTAAAAAATCATAACAATATTAAGCAATACTTCCATCTATTACACCATCACTTAAATCATATTATTAAACCATTTCTTAAAATTAACAAATCATAATAATTTAAGCATGTTATATAATTAAGCTTGCTAAAATGGTAAACCCTAATTCTTTAAGAAAATCCTAAATCCTTTAATATTCGGATCAAAATTTTAAAGCTTCTATCTTGCATCCTTTAAAATGCTACGAGGCCAGTGTTTGTTTTTAAAAATTTTATCGAATTGTTTAGATTATTTTTAAAAATTTTTTTAAAAAAAGATTTTCTGAATTGCCTGGATCTCACTCTTACATGGCACGATGCCTAGTTAGATTTTAAAAAAAAATATTTCTAAATTCTCTGACCGTTCCTACATTGTGCGATGGCCAGAAAGATTTAAAAAAAAAAAAATTTCCTTGCCTGTCACGCCTACTCCGCGCAATGGGCATATATTGATACCACCAAGCCTAGCCACCATATTTGACAGACTTTTTGGGCATTTAACAATATTCTGATCAATTGGCTCTCTTTTATTTGCTAAATAAAAATATTTCTAAACCACTTCATCTACTTCAAGAAAATAATTACTGATAAAACAATCTGTACTAGTACTAACACATCATAATGTTATAACTTATAAAAATATAAATTTAAAAAATAAAAGAAATATTTGCAACGAAATACACTTGTACCAATTTAACTCATATAAGCTCAAAACCGATTTCTTATGAACTTTATTTTTTTTTTCAACTTCTTCTCAACTAGTGCCCAAACTTTCAAATTGTTATGATCATTATAAAAATCAACTCAAAATAAATAAATAAATTATATCAAACTCTTTCACAATCACAAAAAGGAAAAAAATTAAACAAAATTCAATTTATTATAATTTACAAATAAGATATTGCATAGTCATCCAAAAAAATGAGTAAGAAAGGATATCGAAGAAAAAAAAAAGAGAAGAAAGTGACTTTTGTTTCCTTTTTTTCAATTTTTGGGCTTCATCTGTTTGACATGTGAATTATGTATCAATTGAGGATTAATGTAATCTTTTTACAATTACTAGAGAAGGTAACTGATATTTTTAAAAGCTCAAGGGAGCCAAGTGATATTAGGAGAAACTTCCAAGGAGGTTTCTGATATCATCCCTTTACAGATAACCACAATCAGAATCAGAGGCAGAAATGGCACAGACAAGAAAACAAAGTGAATAAAACAATCATTTTAGAAGCAGATTTTTTAGCATGAAATGCTGAGAGTCAAAATTTGAGATCCTACAGTCAAAAGGAATCTATAGAAGCCAAACATCTAGGATCCATCTACCCTCCAGAGCTGAGGTTGAGTATTTCAATCTGCTAACAACTTACAGCATGCATCCTATCCAACAGGAACCGAAGATTTACATTTATGATCCCAGAGCGAAAACTGATCCTGATGCATCTCATCTCCAACTGACTAGTTAAGCAGCTCATTAATTAAGGAACTCATCACTCTATGGCAAATCGCTGTTCTTTCCTTTTTTTTTCTTGACTTTCTCGCTTCCACTGTGTACTTTAGATGCCTTTTTACGTTTCACTGATACCATTTCCTCAACAACTCTATCTGGTATTTCACTGAAATCTTTTGGCTGAGGCAGCAGATCCTTGTTCTTGCTTATTTTCCTTGACTTGAGATTTTTGTTTCCCTTGTGCATTGTGGATGCCTTTTTCCGTTTCGCAGGTAGTGCACCTTCATCAGTTCCATCTGATATGTTGTCTGGAGCTTGTTCCTGTTGTGGCAAATCAGCAGGAGCAACTTCTTCTGCACAAGCAAAATTCCATCTCAAAACTTTTTTATTTTGTCAGCCTCCAGCCATACTAGCTGAGCTGGCTCTTGGGCAATTTTTAAATACAATGTTACTATAATATTGGAGCTTTCTACTGAACAGGCCACTTTTTGTAGTCAAATTATATGAACAAGGGATAAGATGGGGAAAAACTCAACCAGGGAAAAGGAGACTAATACAGAACAGAGACTTGGTTCGCTCATGAAATGGAAACAGTTCTTCATGGGGAAAAAGAATTAATCCTAAGTCTTCATCTATAACATGCAACACTACCCACACCCAGCAGAAAAAGTGTATAGCAGCAAGCTGGAAAATGTGTAAAAATCACTTCATATCCAGAGATGCTCAATTTGTGCACTCTGAATCACACACTAATTGAGATCAGTCCACATTGCAGTTTCAACATAAGCAACATTAACAAAAGAGAATAGACTCACTTCCATTTCTATAATAAGAATCAAAAACAACATCGTGAAGATGCTGCTTCAAGAAAACCTGCATAAAACATTGAAAGAAAAAAGTTAAAATACTGAAAAAAAAATTGTTCAACAAAGAAAAATGGGTTTGAAAAAGTGAATCCTGAATAAAAATAGCACCATATTTACATTTTACTCAACTTTATTTTCACACACCCTCCTAGCTCCAGAAGGCGTCCTAATTAATTGGCCTCAAAATGTAAGACCTAAATGTATTGTTGAAGGTCAAGTCCAAACAAAATTGATTTCAAGATACAAATGCTTCAACACCTCCAGTTTAGAACTTTAAAGAGGGGAAGGGACTTGCATAGGGCTAGTTCTCCATGGATTTAATGAAACCAAGTGTGGTGGGAGGAGGGCTATAATAAAAAAGGAAACAAAAGCCAGTGATAAGCTATGCCTGCATTTCTTAAGACGTATATATACTCCAAATTTGAACAAGGAGCCACTGCAGCCCTCAACCAACGACATGTTACTCTAGACGGCCAACATAGCTAAATTTGTTATCCAGTTTGACTTGTCACATTATCTTAATGCTTGTTTCCAATTAAACCATTCAGCTTCTTTAATCCAAGTTAGTTCATGGAATCAGGAATCATTCAAATGAACAACAAAAATAAGATCTTCGTCATTAACGAAAATCCCCTACACAGTCAAACTTCAGCAGATTTCATAGAGAAAACAAAGATTCTATTGAAAAACCTATCAAACAATAGCCGCACTTGTGCGAAAATAGCTGTCCTTAGAATAGTACACATACATAAGCAAAATTTCCCAGTAAATTAGTACTATCTTCTCAGCAAGGTGTAACCCACAGAATTAGGTAGCAGAGGTTATTCCTCCACATCTCAATGAAAGGAGGACACAACAGGATACAAATGTAACAAAACAGAATATTAACCTGACATGCAGATAGGGAGGGGGGAAAAATAACATGCATATTGATGATAGCAAAAAGGAAAGAGTTTTTGAAGTGAGATCATCAACAACTTTACAACTAATAGTCTCAAAAATTACCGGAGACAAAAGTTGTCGTGAATTTATATCCCAAATGCGCAGATAGTTGTCCAACCCTGAAAAAGAGTACATTATGTTAGCAATCAAACTCATGAAAAGACAATTCTTGGAATCAGCTGCAACTGTCTAAGAGCTGCTACTCCGGTTCAGCTACATCAAAATTGAAAATGAGAGGATGGCTTAAGATATCTTTCATGATACAACAAACGATGGATTACAATGGGTCTGATAACATCGCTTTCCGCCCACACAGGGCCTCTAATGCTTTGGAGGACAGGGTGTCACAAGGAGAAATTAGCCAAACACCTCCCCCCACTCTTCCTCCTCCCCAGGAAAAAAAATTGACATTTCAAAAGTGTAATGGGAACTTTTGTCTGGAGTTAAAGAAGAAACAATACTTACCACAGGATGCTATCACAGGAAGTTCTGGATGCCTCACTATGGATCTAATACTTCCAGAACATTTCCCAATGAAACTTCCCAACAGTTTCCCTGAGATACACAAAAATCAAACATTAAACTTAACTGATTCATCAAACACAGAGCAATTCCAGGCTTCTCTAAAAAAAAGCCCGTTGCAGACTACATCTTGTGACTTAGGGATCATGAGAAATAAAAGAATTCGCAAGTGAATTAAATAAATGAGAAGATGTGAATTAGTGACACTAAGTATGGTATAAGTAATAATATGGATGAAGACAGCTTAGCCAAGATATATGAAAAGGCCACAGCACTGATTTCGGAGGTGCAATGAATCTTTTCTTTATATACTTATTTATTTATTTGGGGATGAGTAAAAGAGGTTGATAAAATCAAATTATTAACATAAACAATTAAAAGACACTTGCCTTAATAACCTAAAAGAATAATCTCTTGTAGGGAAAGTGAAAAGGCTTATGATACTGCACTCAATGCATTTTCTACAGAAATCCCTACAAGCACT